AAATGAAAGATTTATAATCTGTTGTCATAGCTTATGTACTAATGCTTCATCCTGCCATGAATATCTATTTATTTCCGCTGTAATTCTGATCACATGTTTATATTCCACTGCTAAATTAAATTGTTCATAACTCTGATAATATGAGTACATTCCGTTGTTATAATAATAAATATTATACTCTGATGTTGTATTAAAAGTGATGTAAGAAATGGTTAAGAATGATGTAGGCTTTATTCTCTCATTTGTGATCCTGATGGCAAAAATGTGGATTTTCGGGTTCTCCCCTGGGGTGTGCCCGATGGAACTGTGTAATTTAGTGTTCTCCCTTGAGTGCTTAGTGTCTATTGGAAGACAAGCACTCCTGTGGGGTATTAGATTAGACGGTTCTGCCACAAGTAAGTCAATAGTCCCAAATCTGTCATTTCAAATTCAGTCATCATCTGTTCCTTGAACAACTTGATCTCATCTGGATTTCCTCCTGTCACTATCAAGTCATCAACATAAACCCCCAATATGGCTGCATTTGCTCATGTTCCTCTGGTGTACACTGCTTGTTCACTCAAGCACCTTCTGAAATTCAACTTTTTCAGGCTTTTGTCAAGTTTGACATTCCAAGCCCTAGGAGCCGGTCTAAGTCCATAAAGAGCTTTACTCAACTTGAGTACATGCTGCTCTTTACCCTTAACTGCATAACCTCCAGGTTGAGACACATAAACCTCTTCCTCCAACCCACTCTTGATGATCGGCTGCCTCTCTATAACAAGAGGGCTCTTTCTGTTTCTACCAGCAAAGCTTCTACATCTGAATCCATCAATTCCACTTCAGTAGTTTTATCATAGATTTCATTCAGTGCTCTAAATCTCATTGGCTCACTACTTTCAGTAGATGATGGTATGGAATAATCATCAACAGGCATTGTATGCTGTGGTGTTGAAAAACTCTGTAGCTAAATTCTCTGCATGATGATCGACGGTCCGCATTGTGTCTCTCTTTGGTGATCAGTAAGTAATTCGGCATAGCTTTTAATCGCCTCGCCTTGATTGCTAAATTATTTTCATTTTGGCCTTTGCTGCTCTTCTTGTGTGTCTTCATCATTACCATCAACAAATATGCCTGCCCTAGCTTCATTTTCAACAACAAACTCAACTGAGATGTCTCCCCCAAAGTTGAGCACCAATTCCATATTTTTTCTTCTTCAAACACAACATCTCAACTGACAACAATCCTATTTGACTCAGGATCATACAGTATGTGTGCTTTACTGCCTTCTTCCACCCCAAAATACACCAAAGCTTTGCTTCTATCATCAAGTTTCTTCAGATGTGGTGTAGCTAGACTAGCATGAGCAGTGCACCCAAACACCTTCAGATGCCCAAGGCTTGGCTGCCTTCCATTCCAGGCCTCATAAGGGGTTCTGTCACCCATTACCTTGGTTGGCAGTCTATTTAGGAGGTACACAGAGTGCCTGATAGCTTCACCCTAGTATTTCTCTAGAATCATCATGCTTTTCAACAATGCTCTAGACATCTCCATCACAGTCCTATTCCTTCTTTCCACCACTCCATTTTGCTGTGGTGAATATGGGGCTGTGAGATGCCTCCTAATTCCAGCTTGTTCACATACTCCTGCAAACACACCAGCTAGAAATTATCCTCCTCTATCAGACCTAAGTGTGTTGATCCTACACCCAGTGAAGTTTTCCACTTCTGCTTTGTACCTGACAAAAGCATCACATGCCTGATCTTTGTTTTTCAACAAAAACACCTGCATCCACCTAGAGTGATCATCAACCAACAGCATGAAGTACCTATTTCCACCTGCTGTTGTTGGTTTTATTGGTCCACACAAATCAACATACACCAGATTGAGTTTTTCTTGAGAGTGCCACATTGTTGCCTTAGGAAATGGTGATCTTGTCTGCTTAGCTGCTAGACAGTCACTACACACCTGCTCTGGGTGATTAATGTCAGGCACCCCAGTAGCCATCTCCTTACCCACCAACTGTTTCAGAAATCTAAAGTTGACATGCCCAAGCCTACCATGCCACAACCAAGCTTGGTTCCCAATGCTTGCCATCAAACATTTAGGCTCTACTAGTTTTAACTCTATCTTGTACAATATGTTTAGTGTTCTAGGAACCGTCATGATCAATCTTAGTGGTTGTTTTTCCAAAACTTCTAGCACATCATTATCTAGAAGAATTCTATGCCCAATTTCTGTCAGTTGACCAAGACTAACAAGATTGCTTCTAAGTTTGGGAATGTAATAAACATTAGAAAGCACCCATTGATTACCATATTTTCCTTGAAACACAATTGTACCTCTACCTTGAATTTCAACAGTAGAGTCATCACCAAATCTCACCTTGCCAAAAACAGCATGATCAAGATCTCTGAACTTTTGCAGATCACCCATCATGTGGTTGCTGGCTCCATTGTCCAGGTACCAAATGTTGCCTGATGGATCACCGCCATCAGACAAATGGAGTTCAGGCATAATCTTCGCCTCATTCAGAAACACCCTCTGAACTTGGCTTCTTGGCGGGTGCTCGAGCATTCCCGGCGCTGCCGTTTCCGTGAGCAGCACTGTCGGCTCCTTCTCCTCCGCCTTCACGCAGTGCCCCTCCTCTCCCTTCTTCTCACACGGGCATCTATTGGCGTAGTGCATGTACTTGTGGCACTTGAAGCACTTTATGTGACTCTTGTCACACTTCCCCATGCCCTCCTTCTTTGGCGTCGCCACCACCGACGCTGCCACCCGCTACCACCGCCACGGCCACGCCACGCCCTCCGTCTTGCTTCCTCCCTTCCCGAATGAATCGCCGCCCGAGTTCTTCTATCTGGCTTCCCACTCATCCTGTGTGAGCAACATCTGCCCACCTTCTGATCTCGCGCCGCTAGCTCCCCACCGCGTGCGCTCCTCGAACGCCTTCAGACGCCCCACCGCCTCATCAAACGCCAGCGTCTTCAAGTCATAAAACTGTTCGATACCGGCCACGACATTGAGGTATCGATCGAGCACGATATCAAACAATTTCTTCACCAACGCAGCATCATCCAGGCTCCCCCCAAACTGTTGTACTTGACCGACATTGCCGCCAGTTTTCCAACAATTTGGTCAAGCGACTCGTCATCCTTCATCTGGATGGCATCAAACTCGCTCTTGAGCGTCCCGCAACCAGCCAAGCGCCCTACACCCGATCCGCTCCAACGGAAGCGCGCCTTGTGGAATCCCACACCTCCTTCCCAGTTTTCTTCTTCGCAACTTGCATCAGCAAGTCGTTGGGAAACCACTGTAGGAGATGCGCCCGCACCTTCTTGTCCTTTGCGGTTGCTTTCGCCACATCCGCCGCAGACAAGGTCAACGTCCCCGCCTCCGGCTCCACCACCACCCACACCCCCTGATCTTCCATGATCGTCTGCACCCGAATACACCAACTGGTGTAATTCGTGCTCGTCGGCGGAGGATACACTTGCCGCGTCTCCCCGCTGCCTCGTGCTCCCTCTCCCCCGATGACGATCGACATGGACACGATCTGTATATGTCTCCGCGAGTAAAGAGGCTCCGATACCAGATTTTAGCGAAGGATCTCAATTACTCGCTGTATGGTGGCTAGATCCATCAACAAGAACAATGAACGCAAGAACAAACGATGAACACAGAAGCAACTGCCCGGAGGTCGCCCGGGAGACAGTGCCCTTTTTCACTCACAATGGTTCATGATACAATGCGCCTGACCGGCAGTTCCTGCGATAAAATGACTCAAGGAACTCCTAGCTACTTATACCAGTAGTCTAGCACACACACTTTAGCTAATACAACTGCTAAACAAAGATACATGACTCTGAGAACACACACTGCAGAGAGTAGCGCGTCGTGGGCGCGGTCACCGCAACCGCAGCTCCGATCTCGCGTTCAACATTCAAACTGAAGCCTTCCCGCCCTGCTCACTTACGCCTTCTCCACTGAATGTCTTCACTGTTAGTGTTGGCACGGTTACTCACCAACAATTGCAACTCAAAGAGGCATCTCCTCATGGTGGGTTATCTAACACTGACATTTGTCTGGCCTGAGCAAAGTATTTTTTGAAGACGTCACTGGAGGGGTGAGAGCCCCACTTGAATGAATTTTCCATTGATGCTGGCAAGCCAGTGGATGGAGGGTACCGAGGCACCTACAAGGGTCTGAAGACCCAGTGTCCAAAGTATTTAAGCTCAAGATGGAAGTTCTGGTAAGTTCAGCATATACATACATCTGTCTGCACAAATTCGATTCTGATCTCGAGTGGTGCCAAGAAACTTAGGGGGTGTTTGGTTCCTACAGAAAATTTTAGTCCCCTGTCCCATCGAATGTTTGGACACATGCATGAAGTATTAAATATAGAGAAAAAAAATAACTAATTGTACAGATTGTGGCTAATTTTATGAGATTTAATTTTTTAAGCCTAATTACTCCAGCCAGCCAGCACAGAGTAATGGGTGTTTCAGAAAGCAGTACTGGCTTGCATGACCCATACGTTAGAAATGGGAGCTTGAGCAATAATGCAGCTCGAAGTGGTCTCTTTGTACTGGGCAGTGGGCACAGATGAGCCATTGCTTCAGTATTCTGATACAGAAGTTGACTTGTCCTCCATCCTCATGGTGGTGATCATGCATGCAGTGGCATTTGTCTGCCCGACGCAAACCATACAGCTCAGGATTGAAATTCAGATGTGGTCAGCAAACCAATAAGTCTGCCCGAATCAGACCGGAAACGTTTCGTGTACAGCTATTTCAGAACGACTCAAGTACAATCGTGTATCTAATTGCTTCTTAACATAAAGATACACGATTTTCTCCGACCGGCAGTGTACTTGTCACAGACAATAATGCAGTGTGTTGGAATATGGAGCTCTGAAGCACCGATAGGGAATGAAGGATGTGACAGACACAACAAAGAGCAGTAATTCTCCCTATTCGTAGCTGAAAAGGCAGAAATCAAAGGTGGTGACCCGTTTCAACCTATATTGCTTGAATTCTGAACTTTTCTTTAAGAAAAATGTCTAAACCTTGCAAATCAAAATTGGCAATTGGCGGGTGGCTGGCCTGTTCACATTGTTTCTTGGCAAGTCCGAAGAAAACAAAAAATTGCCTGGATTGCGCGAACCTGTAAACGAAAAAGGATGGAGAGAAGGCAGAATAAAGCAACATGGTGAGTTACAGGCAATTCAGCATAGGAAAATCATACTGTGTAAGTGTGTATAAAGATAAAAAAATGAAAGCATTGGAACATGGGGCCAAAAATCTTATTTCCAAAAAAAAAAAATGAAACAAGAAAGATCAATGTGAGTGGATCAATCCATATTCATGAAGGGGAAACATGCAGTAGGTACAGGCAGTAAGACCAGCGCAAGGAGTGGACCATATTCATGAAGAGGAAACATGCAGGAGGTGCAGTAAGGTCAGCACAAAGCAGATCTACTTGAACTTTCAGGCACTTGATAAATTAGGCATCAAAGAGATTAATGTACAAAGGAAAGCACCAGCATCTTTCATTGACTCACAGAAGTAACCATAAGAAAGATACAGAAGTTAGTAAAGACGTGAAGATCGAATCTCAAAATACCATGACCATGATACAGCAAGAAATGATAAGCTCATAGAAAATGCAAAATATGGAAGCAAGGAGTTCGGGGTGCTATTTTCAGGAAACACTGGGTCAGTCATCTAGTACACAACAACAATGGAAATGAAATGGCTTTTGATTTCATCTCCATGCTTCGATCCGCTCAACCTTGGAGTTTATCCGGCTCACGATGCTCGCACCTCTTGATTTCTCAGCTGCAGGTGCGGTGCATGTACCAGACTGGCCCTGGCCTTTGCCCTTTCTAGTCCTCCTCCGATTCAGGCTTCGTCTCCCCTTGCCTTGAAGAGAATGTGTAGCTGTCGTGCTGGAAGCATCAGCAACAGCAACTGGGCCAGCAGTTGCAGGTTGTGAGCCACTAGTGGAGTCCTCCACACTCGTTACTACTTCACTTGTCTGGGCAGTGAAAGCAGCAGTGACTCCTAAAGTGGTATTAGTTTCATTAGACTTATCATCAGTGCTGTGGGCAGGACTGTTCAGAAGGGGTTCTTCCTTGGCAAAAGAAGGGCGCCTAGATCCTTCCTCAAGGAGAGAATCAAGTGTCACGCTGGGTTTCTGATGCCCATTTTCATCAGATGGGTCCTTCTGGGGCAGCAAAACATCCTCTGGAGTGGACTCCTCTCTATCCTTGAGAGTCTTTTGTACCAGCATCTTGAGAAAATTCATCACTTGGACTGCATACATAAGTGCAGTCAAAGGATCTGCCATCTGCATTGTAAGTGTGCTACAGTTAGCATGCCTAACCATTTCATTGCTCGGGGTGAGGTATATTGCTAGTTTGTTAATTGCTATTATATTAACACAATGCAATACCTGAGTCATATTTGGTGCAAAAACCATAGCAATATTGCGATCATTCATCTTGTTTATCTGTTCTTCTTGGACTACATCAGCCATCAGATTAACAGCCCAGTCAAGCAAAGCTGCTTCAGCTGGTGGAAGGCATTTCGCTACCCGAGCACAGTCCTCTTCAGATTGGCATTGCATCACCTGTTCAGGTGGGATAGGGTCCAGAACCCCCCTTGGCATTTCTCTAAACCAGGCCTGAAAAGAGATGAAATGTTAAATTTGATGAGAAGTTGAGAACATGCTTTTGTCTTGCCGAGTAAAGTGACTAGCTCGTGAGCATAATAAACAGTTAATGTCAAATAAGTTGACGAAACTCCTTGCCTTCTCCAAAAGCAAGATCATACTACAGAGGAATATTGCTAAATGGCACGATCACAGATCCACAATCACAACTTTGTATGCATTGGGAAGAAAAGGTAATATCATTGCACAAGAAAAAGAGATGTTCAAGAAAGTGAAGTTTGGATTCTCTGGCAGGCGTTGACTTGAAATTCCACCATGATCCTTAATAACTCTCTACTTACTAGACAGGTGATTAAGAAACAGATGCTGCCAATAGAATGATTATGATTGTATAAGTAACATGAAAAAGAAATTAGCTTACTTTGATTAGACCTGCCAAACAGTGGACATCAATGCCATCCGGAACAATTCCACTATTTAATTGGTCTCTCACAAACTCCTCCTGGCTATTCTCTGCATTTATGCGGAAGATACCTTCTGCCTGAAATACAAAATAAGGAAACACTTATTGGATCAGAACAAGGCTTCCAAACACTGAGGGCAACAGACTAAAGAATCATAGGAGATCCTAAAACACGCACCTGAAGACCACCCTGTTCATAAAGGCGTCTCTGCATCATCAAGAGGATTGTTGGGACACTGTTTCCTCTGGAATCATAGGAACACTGCATTGATTCTGTTGAAACTCCGAAGACACTTGCACTGCATATCAGGTTTGAATCAGCCAATGAACAGGATTAGCAAAAGTAAACTTGCAATGGAAGTAACAATTTATGTTTTCAGAAAATGCATATTAGCACTGAAAAACGAGCAAAATAGATGTGACTTGCAAGGTTCAGGATATGTCCACATGAACACGAGCACCATCCTTGATGCCAAGGCATCTTTTAAATAATCAAATTGTAAATGTTTATGGTGACAATAATATTTCCAATTATCAAGTGATTTTATTGATCATATACTAGCAATCCCTGAGTTTGAAGATTAGGTGTTAGGTGTTTTGCCACTTTTTATCTTCTTTTGGAGCACTAGGCTCCCATCCTTCTATAAAGCAGAACTTTATTCTTTTTAGCTTAATGCTGAAAACCAACATCTTGGAACTCCCAATAAGAAACAAGATACAAGACACCTATGTACTTTTCTTATACTTCGTGCCCTGTTCCTATAATAAGTTAGATAGTATAGCAAAGCACACACAAAAATAATATACCAAGTATTTGAAGCCAAGGTCTACTATACGAACAATAGATGAAGGATAACAAAAAGTTAAAAACCAAAGTAATTTGCAAGTCTAGTGAAAAGAATAGTGAATAATCTAATCAAGACAAAATAGGCCATACATACATCATGGAATCCCTGGCAACTTTTCGATCTTACTAATGACAGATGATGTAACAACCAACTTTATGTACCTAGTTCAGTCGAAATAATTCTTAGATGAGGTAAGCAAGTACAGCAAAATCATGGATGCTATCAGAAAAATGATAGACCAATTATTTGATGGAACATGGAAAAAAACACGCAGAAATTATTTCTATGCACAGTTGTGGTCCAAAGCACATCCACTATCAAAAGACATGCCCATTTCATCAACCATAGTTCAAATCCTGCTAAGGCCTTGTTTAGATTAGGGTTAGGAATCAGATTATTTAGATCAGAAGACTTTCGTTTGTATTTGACAATTATTGTCCAATCATGGTCTAACTAGGCTCAAAAGATTAAATCTCGTAATTTACAATCAAACTGTGTAATTAGTTATTTTTTATCTACATTTAATACTCCATGCATGTGTCCAAAAATTTGATGTGATGGAGAGAGAGTGAAAAAACTTGCAATCTAAACAAGGCCTAAGGCTGCCAACACAAAAACCAAGTTCATACTTTATAACATGATTCAAATGGAATTCAAACTCCACTTAAAGTTTTGCCTTTTTCAATAATATTTTTCAGATCAAAGCAGCATGGAGGCTGTAACACAAACAAAAGGGATCACCTTTTCAAGGATCAAAACTATAGTACGGAAACAACCATGCCATCAAAATGCTAAAGAGTGGTGAACTATTAACGAACCCGTGTCAAGCAAACATCATTTACATTTTACAACTTTCTAACAGAACAGAATCTAATACTTATTGTCTTCAACTGTTCATATCAAAGCACCACATATATTTGGAATTTAAAGAAGGGGGGAAAATGCAAACACCCTCTAAAATTCAATTTGGAGCTAAAAAAGTTCCATGTTATTTGCATATAAAGTCAGATTTCTGGAAGCGTGAACTCAATATCAATTTGATGAGGACACAACGAGACATACCTGGCACTGGGAGCACGGCGGGGCACTTCGGGCTCGAATTCAACGGGCAGCCCCAGGAATCCATGGAACCTATCGAACGTGACGTGCGCGACGTGCTGCACGTCCGTGGGCAACCCAATCTCCATCCCGCAGCCGCCGTGTTCGCCTTCGCCGCTGCCGCCGCCCACCGTCCTGCACCCGAGCAGCGACTTCCGCAGCAGCTCAAAGAGCAGCGCCAAGAACGACCACCGCTCCTCTTCCTCCTCCGCCGCCTCTTGCCCGCGCAGTTCAAGGAGTCGTCGGCTCCCTGCAGATCCCGCAGTGCGCTCCGGGCTGCCGCTTCCTGGGAGCACGTCGCTGTCGGCATTGGCTAAATAGCGCAGCGCTGAGGAAGAGGAGGAAGAAGCGGAGGCGCGGCTTGCGGTGGAAGCGAGGTTGGTCGGGCCCCGGAGGAGCGCCACCTCCGTCATTGCTTCCTTCTTTTCGAATTCTCACTGGAATTATGAGCTGTGAAGTGCGGTGTAGGACCGACCGATTTTGGGGGGCCGATTCGCTGATGGTGGAGAAGGGGCCAAATGCACCAAGAAATGATTGGGGATTCTCAGTGGAGTTCTTGGTGCGCCCCCTATTTAGGATTTCTTGATGCTTGCTTTCTTCCGGAGATTGGGATTGTTGGGGCAGGATGGGACTGGAAGGGGATGAGGATTGGTTGTGGTGGTGCGCGTGGTCCAAATCCACGAACTCAAATCGCAACAAAAAAACAATTGCCGCGTCGAGAAATGGACAACAAAAGGGGAATTTTTTTTTAACTCCAGCAAGGAATCTTTAGGCAGAAAAAGACGCAATTTTTAGCAGGAGATGATGAACTCTCGTGGTGCGTTTGGTGGAGAATGGATAGGATTTTTGTGGAGGTGGAGTTGGATTGAAGGGAGGGCTTGAGCTGGAGCTGATGGCACCATCATTCGTCTCCTGCCCCTTTATGGACACAAGGATGCGAGCTCATGCGCATGCTCTCCTCGCTTCTCGTTCACGCGTGCGTTTCTTCACTGTTTAGCTACCCATCATCTCAGGCTCGGAGGAAGTCTAGCCTTTTGTAACTGTCTCGAATTGCCTACGTCACCGGAAGTTTATGTGATGGATTAACTGTAAAACATATCATGGCTTTTTTTTATTCAACATATCATGGCTTTCAGAGTACTTGAGTGTTTTAACTGCTGTTAGGTGTTCTTGTCTCCTTTTGGACCCTACAGGTTTCCAGCTTCTACGTTAAGGCCATGTTCGGCTTACCTCATAATTTAGCTTATTCGGCTTCTTTTTTCAGCCGGAATAGTGTTTTTCTTTCACAACAATTCAGCTGGAATAGTGTTTTTCAGCCAGTTTCAGACCAACGAACGGGATTTACAGGTTTTGCAGTACACTGTTGTTATTATATATATTATATATAAAAAGTAAACAAGAGGCTAACCGGGACCAGGAGGCGTAAATATTTCTACCAATATCATGAAGAAAATTTGTGCTCAAATTCAAACTAACGACTAAAAAATAACCAAAACGGGGGTTCTCTCTTCCGAACAGTGTCAAAACTGTGAAGCGGAAGGTATTCACTGTAGGGTCCATTTTGTCTTTGTGGTTCATTTGCATCGTACCAAAAGTCAGTAATTTGGTCCATCAAAAAAAAAAGTCGTAATTTGGTTCAACTACAGTCATTCATTTGGGCGTGGTTTGTAAGTAACGATTGTAAATTTCAGTAGGGAACACGTATATTTTTCTCTCACACAAACCAAGCCAAAGAAAGACTTTTTACTTAACCAAAAAACGAAACGATCCAGGTCACCGAACAAAAGCTGAGGTCCAATTTGGCAGCTATGGACAAAAGGTTAATGGTACAGCAAAAAATGGCTGATAAGAGTAATCAAATACCGGCTCCGTCATGTTTCAATTTGTACCAGAAACTTTTACTGACGTGTGTTAATTGACATGTCCTCAAAGTTGTCTACCATGAGGAACGCTGTACTATACCGGCAGAAACCTTTTGCCCCAGCGGCTCATCAACTTAATTACTACTACTTCATAAAGCTGGAGATGCATTTTTTGTTGTCATTTTCATCTAGACCATTGTCCATTTGTTTGTGGTTTGTGCAAGGCCGTCACATGCCATGCCATGCCATTCATCATCTTTCTTCAGGTGTCAGAGACAAGATCTGCTAGAGCATTACAGGAGAAATGAATTGGAATATATATACTCCAGACTCCAGTATAGTATAGGATTCCTCTGCTGTAGTCAGTATTGGGTATGTGCTCTTTTTTGTCAGTAGTCAGTATTGGGCATGTGCTCTTTTTTGTCAGAAGTCAGTATTGGGCTCACAAGTCACAACAGGAGGTTTTGGTTTAATTCAGGTTTCATAACTCAGAACTACTAGCATATCGTCCTGTTTGTTTTGGCTTGTTTGGCTGATAAGTCGTACCGAAAGAAAATCTTGTTGGTGATTTGATGTGAGAGAAAAATATTGTTCGTCGTATTTGAAAAAAGACGAACATAAATAAAAGCAAGCCTAAACGAACAGGTGTATATATCTGGAGGAATTTAAGATCTAACGTACAGCCAACAAGAGCTGATGAATCATTAAACTTTAGGTATGCCCAATTATTTGACTAATTAGGTGCCAGCTAATACAATTTAAGTCTTCCTGCATTTAATCCTTGCCAAGGCAATACACATGCGTGTCAATTAAGCTGAAACAACATTCTGTCGTATCCTACCGTAGTACTTTAGCTCCTAATAGGGCGGTTGGTGGGTAGTCAAGACTCAAGTGCAAAAAGATATGGCAACCAGTGCTACTAAAGTAATGAAGAACTTGGTTATGATTAGTGGTGAAGTTAGAGCAAATTAGTAGAGAGAAAGGTGTGATTGTCTCATGGGTGTATGGACTTGGGCCATAGAGAATGCATGAATGATGAAATTTTGGACTTCATCACTAATTTATATTTTTGCAATGGAGGATGGGGGCATATGCACCCACTTCTTCGTATATATCTATATAAGACAACTTCACTTGAACTACTAATTACGCATCGTACATATATTAGTATTTTTGTATATATTTGATCAAACATAAAAATAGTTGTCTGTGCATCACATATCCAACCCATATAGTACCAACTACACCATATCATCTACTGCTGCTGCTCGGGCTCATCGCCATGGAACTGCGGCGCAGGAACCTGCCGTGGGCTCCAGTGGCGGAGCGTGGGATGAAATTAAGGGGGGCTAATTCCAGTATGCATTTGTATACTTGGGATTTATGAGCTTGTAAACAGATGTGCGAGTACACATGTTGGTTACTGCAATTCAGTGAGCAAGGAGGCTTTGAGCAGACGGCGGCACTTGAAAGAAAGTTCTCATGTCTTCATGACAATATGAGCTCCAACTAGTTACATACAACATGTACATAATTGCAGGGCAGCATTTATTTGCATGCATGCATGCAGAATTACTCCAAGGCAAGGGGGGCAACAACCCAGTTTCACCTTAACCTAGCTCCGTCAGTGGTGGGCTCACTCCACATTCACGGGATCGATAATCGGGATCAAGTCAGCTTTATATTTAATAGTGTGTGAGAGTCTTGTGATTCATTCATGTGGCGGCACTCATGGTGAAAAATTAGCATGTACCACTACTAACAAAATTTGAGTGGGGACATGTGCCCTCACTCCATAATCTAGGTCCACCCCGGCCGGGGACATGTGAGTGGGATATCTTTGGGTGCACATGCGGGCTCTCGTGAGAGGACGGGCCTTCCCGGCAGAGCACATCGGCAAAGAGCCAGCGATGGTTCTTCCACCTCTGCATAGTGCATACAATGACAATGCTCCTTCCGACTTGATTAGTGTTATACCGAAGCACCTGCTCCACCACCACTAGCACCAAACCAATGTCAACACTTGGCCTTGCGCGGCATGTGCGATCTAGCACTCAGTTGCGTGACCAAATCAATGTCAACAATTGGCCTGACAATAACATGAGAGCCAGTATCCAGCTTGCCAAGGCATAGGCTAGTTTTACTCTTACTGTTGCCAGAAACCAAACTGACTCGTAACATACTGTTGTGTTGAAAATGCTGGAATTACAACAATGGAGATTTATATTAGAAGTTCTATTTGGATCTTTAAATATATAATGAAAGTTCAGTGCAAAAAGACGCTCATAATAAGATGCTAGCAGTTTGACAAGGATTCGGTTTCTCCTAAAGGGTTCCGACTTCTCTTGTAAAGCAGCTTCTCCAGTGGAGATGAAACTGTTTAACAAAAATAGTTCCAATGGCATTTGTATAATAATCGGAGAAGCCATGTTTTCACGACTTTGGCTCCTCAGCAAAAAAAAAAAAAAAAAAAAGACTCCGACACCTCCGAACTCCTTGTAATAAGCCGTTTTAAATGGTCATTTAGCATAACTTCACAGCAAAAGCCGCAAGAAGCCGAAACCGTGCCAAAGGGTCCTTAATATGTAAAACGAGGAATGATGGGCAAGTCACTAGAAAGACTAGCTAGTGGTAGTTTTCTTTTCTGACCGAGTTTGTGTTGTAAACTGCTTTCACAAAAATGAAAAGTTGCTCGCTAGCGTCGTCAATGCTGAAGGTTCGATACTTGGATTGTGCGATGGCACGATGACATATATTACTGACGGTTAACAATTTGTTTATTTGGCCAGCCAGCTAGAAGCTAGCAGGCGCAGACGACTTCTTTTGTGTGTGGGAGAAGCACAAGGGCATACAACGAGGTAGTAGCAGATGTTGAGCAATGGACAATCTTCCACTTTCTCCGTCTCAAAATAACTATATATCATATTTTTCAAAGTCTAACTAAATTTACAAAAAAATAATGTAATTATTATAATATAGAATTAATTAGTTACGCATCGTACATATATTAGTATATATTTTGTATATATTTGATCAAACATAAAAATAGTTGGCTTCGTGAAAAATAAGATATGTAGTTGCTTTAAGACGGAGAGAGTATGCTTTACATAGCCAACCCATATAGCACTAACTACTGTAGCATCTGCTGGAAGCTGTTCTGAAATCATCATACAATACAAGAAAGTCTTGTTACGTACAGTAAATGAGGGTTCAGTATACTACCGAAGAATAAACTGCCGTCTAGTATTCTCCAGGAGTAAGCAAGAGAGTGGCCAAATTAAACTTTGAGGACGGCTAGCTGGCGAGGAAGCAAAAAAAATCACTGAAACAAGCGGAAACAAGCTGGAATGAGACCTGACCAGCCGAACAGGCGTCTGCCGTCTACTACGTTGTTTTTGCACGTCCATCAGACAATGCAATGCAAAGCAATACCTGCCGTTGGAACGTCCCTCTGCCTCTGCGTCGTCATGTCTTCGCCGCCTGCTTCCAGAAGAAGTCGCTCACACGGCACCCCATCCGACTAGCGCAAATACCCTGCTGCGTTCTTGCCT